CATATAATACATTTTTGATATCATATTTAAAGTTTGTGAATAATGCTTTTGCATATTAATTGAGCTCTTGAAAAAAATGTACAAATGAAGTACATCAATAATAAAAATAAACTCGTATATGTCATTTTGAATTATAATTAAATCATTATATTATTTAAGTTCAAGTTTATAAAATATTATTTATCATAGTTAAAATATATATTTATATATAGTATACACACAGTATATTATCATAAAATAGTTGGTAAATAACTCGCTATCACTAAAATTGTTTATCTTTACTACTATGTTTGTAAATTCAATAAGATTTTTTTTAAGCTATTAGTATCCAATTTCATAATTTTATTGTTTTTATCTTCAGGATTAAATTAACTTGGAATTAATGGATAAGTTTTTAATAATCATTATTCCATTTATTAAAAATTTAAATCTATAAATTATGCATATGACAAAGTGGGAGTAATAATAATAATAAATATATAAATTGACTGTTCCAACAAAAATGTAGTGTCACAGTTTTTTTTTCAATTCCGAGTTATTACTGCCATTTAATAGTGAGTTTTTTGCTATATCACTTATAAAATAGGTCGTCTATTTAGTCATTCAAAGAGATTAAAATCTTTAATACTCTACCAGTGACCAAATTTTTGAAAATTTATGTTAAAAATAAAATAATATAAATTTGAGTGTTTATTTTTTTTCATACTGAAAAGTTAGAAAAAAATGAGATACTATTATCTATTTTATTAGAGCAGTTGAAATATTAACAACAATAATATAAATAATGTCCAATCATTCAATTTCAAAACCTATTAATAATTTTTAAGAAGAGAAAATACAATATAATAGATAGTTTTAAAATGTATATTAATGTATTTTTATTAACTTAAAATTAATAGGCCGATGAGATTTCAATCATTTTGGTGAATTTGAAATGACTAAGTGTGAAAATTAATAAAATGAGGTATATTCTACTGTAAATAATCAAATAAAGTTTTTTTTTTAAATGTTTATAAAATTAATTTATAAATTAAATGTGTATAATTTATAAATTTTAATTATTATAAGTCAAATTTTTTTAGTTAAAAAACTTGATGCTTAAATGAAACATCCATAGAAATTATAATTACAAATATGACAATATCATATTATATCCACATTTTTCTCCAGCATATCATTATTATGGCTTTGAATAAATAATTAACATTGAACTTGAACTTTTAAATGTTATTACATAAATCATCAATAGTCATTGTTAATTGCTATGGTATTTTCATTTTCCAACAGGACTATTGATTATTTTTAAACAATCTCAAAAAATAGAAAAAATATTAATAACAAAAAATATGTTGTAATATTATGTAGCATTACTCTATACTTAATAAATGATTCACATAACAAAGCTATAAATCCCTAAGCTATATTTTTCAAGGGTTTTAGTAAAAATGTATTTTAGAGGAAAGAAACAAATGATCAAAGATTTTTGAAAAATATTTAGATGATTATAGATTCTAGATACTAGAAGAGTACTATTATGATGATAAAAATAATATAGTAGATGATAACTTAACAGTTGTTTAGATTGATTAACTTTTATTAATCATATTGTAGACATAATAATTATCTTGTTGAAAATAGTAGAAAAATAATATTATGAATATAATAACAGTCATAGTAATTACCAATATCATCATTTTTCAAAATACCTGAACAGAATTAAGTGAAAAGGTACTTCATTGTTTTCTACTGCTAAACAATAGTTTGTTACAATGTCACGATCTATAGTATAAAGTAATTTTAATTATAAGTAAATGTATAGTCTCTTAATGATATTAACACTTATAAGTATAAATATTTTGATTGAAATTTGGAGGCACATAAAACTTATTTTGATCACAGTCATAAACAACTATATTTTCACTGGAATCTATATTAAATAAAATGTATTTATTAATATATACATATATATTGGTCAATATATTAAAATAAGGAGATATACAACTTTTTTTATTTTATGATATTAATGTTTAAAATATTAATAATCATTTTATTTTGCATATTTTTAGAATTTTATTTGGTGCATATTATTATTAGATTGATTATGGTTTTGGACCACAGTTATTTTTCTGTTTTATAGTTTTCTATTCAAATGCTAAATTATTATAAAATTTAGTACAACTTTACTTGATGAATCTAAATCTTGAGAATACTATTTTTTATTTATACATATTCTTAAAAATATTATTTTTTTACATAAATACATTTTATTAATATATTAACCAGGGTTGTTATGTTTAAAATCTTTTGTTTTAATTAGATGTTTAAAACATTCAATGAATAAATTATAAAAAACCCCTTAAAATTTAAACAATGTTTAAATCAAAGGTTTCTTATTAAGAAGTGAATTTATTTAAATTTTTTTTGTAATATTTTGTTAATTTTGATTATATTTTTTAGATATTATATTATATTAAGTTACAATAAGTACTTAATATCAGATACCAATTGATAATTATTATGTTTAAAATTAAAACAAATTAACAAGACTTCCTTTTATATAAAGAAATAAAATTTGAAACTTCCTGTACTAACTTTAATACTTACAAATTACAAACATAATATACTTGTTAATAGTATAAATACTTAACATAAAATTAACTGTCTAAAATTAAAATAAATAAACAAAATTTCTCCTTAAACATAATATTACATGGTGATTTGATTTGATTATAAATTGTTATCACAAGATACAATTGTATATTTAATTATTGAGAATTAATATAATATTATTGTATTACATGTTGAGATTTTTTAAAATGGTCACCAATTTTGAGCACTTCTCAATACTCAAACAATTTCTCAATTTTGAATGAATAAAATCAAATCATTAAAATAATCTTTCTATTTTTGCTAAAGTATTTATATCTGTAAATAACTGCATTATTAATGTGTTAAGATCATCTGATATTAAAAGTTAATTTTAAAGAAAATACTCCATCATTATTTTTCAAAAATTATTAGTCGTTGGATTGATATTATTAACAGTGTCAGATCGAAATAAGTATGATTTAAATGGATTCATAGTGCTTGATAATTTATTATTTTAGCCAATACATTTGCATAATAATTGTAAATATATTGCAATGCTGAATCAGATTCTTCTTCAGATAAATGAGAACCATTATATTTAGAATCTTAACATATTTGCTAAAAAATGTGGTGGTGTAACAGCCACATTATATTTGTCTTTCAGTTTTTAATTTAACTTGGGTTACAATTTTTTTCAAAACAGTCTAATTAAATCTTTCCAAATACCTATCAATAGTCTAACTTAAGTATAAGATTTTTTTTCTATTTTATCTAATAATATTGATATAACTTTTAATTTTTTAAAGTAGTCTTCAGTGTTTCTTTTCATCTTCTATTTTTCTAATTATAGTGGTGTCAATAGCTGCACAGTTGTTTGAACACACTGAACTTAAAATATGCCAATTTTCTATATAGGACTGTAGACAATTAAAAAAAATGTTCCAGCATATATCAGATGGTATGATTAATGTTTTACCACTTGCTTGTTTATATTTGGCTATTTAAAAAATACCTTCTAACTTATTTGATGTTTGATTTTATACTATTAACTTCTAAATTGTAAGCTAATAATTTTAAAAGATGTGCACTACATCCATATATTATAACATTGCATACATTATTTTTAACTACACCAACTTTGTCAATCTGAGCAAGTTCTCTCATTTTGGCCACATTAGCAGCATTGTCAGTGACAAAACTTTGAGCTATACAAACTTATTTTTGGCAATTGTTTGTGGTCTGACAGCTAAAATAAATAGGTACTCTTGATTATGAAATTTATCTTTAGTGTCTATTGTCTTAATTAAATAAACCGCTTTTTCAATAATAAAAAAACAGAAATACCGTACAATAGGTTCATTATGGTTATTGCTCCATTTATTTATTGATATTTACACTTTTAACTCTTAATTGAGATTTTATTTTAGAAATAGTTACATTGAAAACTTCACCGAGCAAATTATTTACAATTTTATGCCTACTTGGTAATGTGTAATCGGATCTTAGTCGATTGATAATTTTACAAATTTTGAATGTTTCACATGTCTAAATAGAGTGTTAATATTATAAATACATTTTGCTGTCTCTAATTCAAATCTTTTTTTGTTTATCCAAGTTGTCCAAGTAACAAAATCTCCTATGGATTTTTGGATATTTATGGTGTACCTATTTTTATTGTTGAAGTTGAAAAACTAGGAATAGTAGATGTAGAATCAGGTTAAAGTTACAATGTACTATTTGTAGTAATGCTATTGTTAAGATTAAGGTTGTCATCGTTCAATAAATCTAAAAGTTAACAAAATAATTAAAAATTTTTTTAATGATATATTTATACAATTTTGAGTTGATGTTGGTGCTAGAGCTTAATGTGTAGTAAATTATTGATGTTGATTATTAATTATATAATATATCAGATTTTTATAGTAAGAAATGTTGTATAAAAAAAATACACCATAATGTAAAGTTTAAAAATGTTATTCAAAACTATCTACATAGATTCAAATACATTCAAATATTTATTATTATTTTAATTGACTATTTAATATTTAGCAAGTATTTACTATTTAGAATTTTAGACCCTTTAATAGAAATGTATAATTATTTATTACCTCTAGAGTCATTGGACAAGGTTTGTTCATCATCAAAAATATTATAATTAGCTGTATCATAAGTGTTATCATCTTCAATAAAGTACATAACTTATCAAAAGAAATTAGTCTCGCTCACAATTCAATTTACTTATTACGACGGTTGTGCAAGCATATTAATGATAAAAGTTAGGTTACTTACACAACAAAATTGATTATTCACTTATACTCTTAATTTTGTATTAAGAAATATAATTATTTAAATTTTATTAGAATTTGTCTTTAAAAAATTGGTTTTGTTTTACCTTGTTTTAAATAAAACAGAAAAGTGACAAAGACGAAGACATCAACAACTTGCCACACATCCAAGATCCAATAATTAGGCAGCCTTCTGTAAACCACTTAGCAAGTATGTCAACTGTGGAATATGGACCATCACCTTCACACGAATCACCATCGTTGCATAAGCCGCAAAATCAACCACCACCACCACCACCACCACCATCGCGCAAACAGAAACATCAATCACCACAATCACTACCTGAATCTTCATTGTTGAATGCCGCAATAGTTGACTCAGGCACCGTGGATGCAGAAGCCGAAAAAAACAAAAAACTCTTGGAATGGGAGTTATCGACGTTAGAAGCGGATGACTTGCGGTCACATGCCTGGTACCATGGTCAACAGATAGACCGTACCGAGGCTGAACGACTTTTGCGCCAGTGCGTTGCCGAAGAGCACAGTTTTTCTACTACTACTATAATCACTGAGAATACTAATAATAATGATACAAATACGTCTCCGAACAATGCTACTGTTACTGCCTCTACAGGGTCTTCATCTTTACAACAGAATGTCAAAGAAGATTCCAGTGATACGGATGGTACGGAAGACATCAGTAGTGAGAGCAGTGATGTGGATATCGCGTTTGACGACTTCTCGAACAAACTTGTAGACGAAAATGGTGTGGTACTCGATCCGTCGGTGGCTACGTCTACTGAAATTGCTGCGGCACTGCAGTTGAAACAGCGTCGTCGCCTGCACGGTGAGTTACAAACGAAAAGATCCAAGCGACCTCGGCGGCATTACTACTGTTTCTTAGTTCGAGACAGTCTAAATGTTCGGCCACCAGGCAGATACGTTATGTCATGTCTGCGAGTTGACAAATATGAAGACCTTGAAATCGGAGACAGATACAAAACCGATGAACAACGGCGTAAGGTTTTCCGACAACAACAACGACGACATCGAAGACAAAACGTACATCCAGTATTGCATTTTGTCGTGAATGAGGTGAGTAACGAATTTAACTTAATATTTCTGATAATGTTATGATTCTTTTACAAAATTCGCAAGACCGCGGAATGTTTTGAAAAACTACCATATTTTAAAACGATCCAAGAGATTTATTTCATCTATATTTTTTTATAAAGAATATTTAACAGTAATTGGTTTTCTTGAATTTTTTCTATTTAATAACGTTTATCAAGTTGGTACAATATTTGATTAAAGTTAAATAAAAAAATGTTTGCTTCTTTTAATTCAAGTAATATGATGAGAACAATCATAATAGGATATGTAATCTTGGTATTGCATTTTTGCATTATTTTATACATTTGGACTCAATATGTTTCGTATTTACACAAATTCACCAATATTGTGGTGTTCCTAATAAAAAATTATAGTTAATAAAAATAAAGTTTAGCTTCGTTAGTTTAAAAATTAGAGTGAATTAACCAACCTATAATAAAACTTGATGGTAAGAAGATTATCTGTGTTTGTATGTGGGTATTTTACGATAGTTCAATTTTTTAGCGAGTTTTGCGTATGTAAAATATATAAAATTAAAAATGCTCATTACTTATTAAAAAAATTGAATTATCCTAAAAACCCACAAACAGACACAGAAAATGTTCTTACCATTAAGTTTTATTATAGGTCGATTTACTTTAATTTTTAAACTAACGAAGCTAAACCTAATTTGCTGAATGTTAATTGTCCATGTTACACACTTGTAAGACAGTGACAAAAAATGTTTGTGTAGCGTTTTCTTGAGAAAATAGTAAGAAAAAGAATTTATTGTAAAAGTTTAACGTTAAAAATTTTGCTTGATGTCTACAAAATTAACTTAAACAAATCAATTTTAATGTTACTAACTTTCTTTATTAGCATACATTTTTGATTATCTAATTTTACTCTTCGAGCGACCATATAAATAAATTATAATATAATATACCGAGTAAAATATTTTAAGCGTAATAAGTATTAATATACATATTTTACTGTTTTATGAATATTTTTGTTGTTCAACTTAAAATTATAGATAATCCTGCAACCCGGAACAGTATACGAGCGATCGCAGTTCAGTTTTGGAGAAACCTTACCCTCATTGACTTCCGGTATTTCTACAGCAGTGGTAAACAGCAACGTTGGGCATAATGAACAACAGAGATATCAACCAGGATTTGATAGTGTACCTGATCTGATTAGGTACTATGTTGGTGGTGCTGATGACAATGCTATGTTGTTTTATGGTGGTGGAAACGATGGAATTATGACGTTTGCTCGGACACAACAAACTGAAGTACGGATTCGGTATCCATGCAACCGGCGTCGTCCTCTGATGACAGACAACATGATGGTTGAAGTTGCAACTCCAAATATTCTCCCGGATATGATAGAAAATTCTCGATTAGTGCGACAACGTTGCAATGCTTTAACTGCGACTTCTGCCAACACTGAAAGATTACGGTTATTATCTACTTCTCCCAGTGGGTCTACAGAAGCATCAACGTCATCTCAAAATATGAATCATTTACGTCATTCACCATCGCCACCGCCTTATACTTCAAAATGGATGCGCGTACAATCTTCTTATAGGCCATCAGTTCGAAATACTCCTTCAGCTACTGTAACTTCCACAAAGGTTACGTCGATTACATCATTAGAGAATTCTCCATCAGCAAGATCAGTAAAGCAATCTCAATCACAACCATTTTCTTATTACCCTCCAAGGATTGATCCACGACTATCAAATACATCGATATCAACTCTACCACGTCAATCAAGATCACCACAGGACCTCAAAAAAACTTTCCCAAGTCGTTTTAAACCTGGAGACGCATCAACATCAGTTCAAACTCTACCACGCCAACCAAAATCATCTTTTCCACTTCCATCGACCTCCGGATCCTCGTCGGTATCTGAACACCCTTCATCTTCTGGATCAAAATTAATATCGGACCAATTACGACATACTCCATCATATTCAGGTATGACATCAACAAATACCCCAAATTTGACGATCTCTGATTTATTATCTTCACCATCATCATCTTCCAAGGACTCATCAAGATCTTTACAGAGTACATCATCAAGGAATAATTCTATAAACGATGAATTTACTGAGTCGCCATTCAGAGTTTTTAGTGTAACTGCGATGGGCACGAATGAAGATGCTTCAGCATTAGCCGTTGATATAGATGCCCCTGGAACATCATCATCAAATAGAGAAATGTTTAATGAGCATGCTGTTGATTTGTTTTCGCTACCATTTCAGAATGTTGTGACGTCATCATTTATACGCGTACGAGTACGCAATGGATATCGCAATATGTTAAATAAAACTGCGAGACCTTCGCATTTGAACCAACTAAGGAGATCTCCGAATATGAGTATTCCAGATAGCCATTATCCTAGGTCCCATAGCTTCCGAGGTAGGTCAGCAAGCTATCGAAATCAATCAGGAAGACCCCAAACTGCTAGATCTAACTCTACTATACAGAGTTCTTCGGGAAATGATGATGATGATGATGAGCAACAACAATCGTCGTCATCTGAATCTTCTTCTGTTTCAACATCTACGTTAAAGAATGAAAATATTGAACGAAATAAAAGTAAACAGAGACAATATATAGATCAAGAGGTTGAAAATCAGACGAATAGTATAGAGAAATGTGCAAATATAAATCAAACATTATCAAGTGATGAGCAGACAACTCCACATCCAGTTTTGAACACAGAAAACTCACCATCGGAAATATCTGAAAATAAAAATTTTCAGAAATGCCGCACTCGTTGGACTAACTCAATGCGTCAAGGGTTAGTTAATATGCTGGAACGACCACATCCAGATCATCAACATCGACAACTTACTCAAATTACGGGGACATCGAACCGTGATCCCCGACAACGAGGTTCGCGGCAAATACATCAGGCGCCAACTGAAGACCAGAAGGTCGATAATATTGCCAAAAGAATTAAATTTAAACCATCAATGAGCACAGACCGGGCAGCTACTTTAGGCCCAATTGCTTTGCCTCAAACACATACTACTTGCTGCTCCATTCGATCATCAAATAATGATCTATCTAAAAACATGATTAGGCAATGGGTAGGCTTACAAAGAATTTCAAACCAAAATAATAACTCCGATGTTGTAGAAGTGTATAATAAAGGCGGAATACCTCTGGTCGCAATTTTGTCTCGTATTCGGCGACAACGGTGGCAACGACGCCAAAGCAATAAATTTGTGATCGCGTCGGGGGACCACTTTTCGACGGCGGAGAAGTGCCACAAAAGACATGTGTCACCATCGAAAGAAATTCAATTGTCAGTGCGGAAAAATATAAATTATCCACAAGTGAATCGGTTGTTACCCGGCTTCAGCATCATCAACCAAGAAGGTGAGGTCACTTCCGTGGTTAAAGTCGACCAATTAAACACAAATGCGACATTTAGCGAAATGAATTGCCCTCTCACTACGACCACTGAGTGCAGTACCGGCATATCCGGTCAAGAAATAGGTACTTGTTCTGTTGGTGTCGGCAGTATTGGGTGCAAGCTGGATTGTGATTATGTAAACATCGATCCTCACATCGAAGACCACAACAATTCGGTCGATAAAGGTGACACCAAACATCATAACATCAACTTTCTTAAGAATATCTATCACGGAAAAAAACACCAAGTCAGCAAGCAACAAAGTAATGATAATTGTATTAGTCTTGTTGATAACAACATCGAAGTATCTGTTGATTATGAAAATGTAATTTCTCACAATACTGACCTTAGTTATGAAAATATAGATCAAATTAGTGATAAAAGACAACAAAAGCTAATTAATGATTTGAATGGAGGTAATACCGCAGTTGCCGACGCGTTGCGTGCCGTTCACCTGGCAATAATTGGTGATCCTGACGACACTGGTAGAACAACAGTAGGCACGGGAAAACTAGCAGCCGCCTTGTGTCGTGCTGATGGTCAGGCCACTATACTACCATATCGACACAATTTCACTGAGGGTGAACAAGCTGATCCACTTTTGAGTACATGTCCGCTTCAACTTTTGAGTCAACCAGGACCAGCCGGACGTCGAGCTCGTCTGGATGTAATAGAAAGGTATTATAATTTTAAAAGTATTATTATACAATTATATAATTTTAAAGTATTTAAGTTTTTACTACATAGTTTTTAAGGAGGGTTATACTGACAAATAATCATGTTTGGCGTGTGCGAAATACATTTATAGTAAAGAGTGTGTACACATACGATTTTTGCAACCCGTAAAAAGGTTAAAAGCGTATTTACATGTTAAAATAAAGATAATATAAAATCTAATTTTCCCAAACATAAAATACTTCCACAATAACTTTTTATGTAAGATGGCCCCAATTCTTTTTTAAAATCTTTTAATCAATTCTGATCACTTATAGATGTTTTGGGAATTTTTCGAAATCTGAATTTTCGTCTTGGTTAATAGTAATATTAACTAGTAATATTAAAATATTTAAGTCAAAAATTGATATTTTAAAAAGTTCTTAAATAAAGTCATTGATGACGTGTCAAAGATTTTATTAAATTCAAAACCATTTGCTAAAAATCTCACTATTCAGTTACAGTGAAAGGTCTAAAAAGGGTGTAATTTTGATCGACTAGAGCCACATTAATTTAATTAATTTTTTTCAAAATAAAATTCGAAAATTTAGAGTATTGTGAATATTTTTAGTAAAGATTTATATTTTTATACATGATTTTGCATGATTTTAAAGCAACGTAGCCATTTTTTTGTTTTTAATATAAATCATGTAAATATAATAGTAATTAAAACATCTTATCTTATTCTCTATCTATATAGTTTATGTTTTTTTGAAAATTAATAATGCTATTTTCATACATAAAATACAATTTTTTTGTAACAAATATTTAAAAACTCATGTAATTTTCTGATAAATCTGTTTAAATTCTTAAACTATTTTAATCATGAAGGAATAAATCAAAAGTTCAAATAATATTTATTTATTACATTATGTTAAGCGTAAACTAAAATCAATTTTTTTTTTAAAGTTTTGTTTTTTAAATAACTGATTATTGCATAGAATATAAAAAACATATTTGCTTGTACATCTTTTTTGATATGGAAACTTTGCTTGTAAATCATGTATGTATATTTACGAAATCGTGTATAGACAAATGATTATTAGAACTTATAGTATTCTGCAATTCATTGGAACCGTAGTAACAGCTGTTTTTTTTATAATAACTAATTATATGTATTGGTAGATTGTAAAACATTGAATAGTTTATAAACATTGGTGTTCTAAATTTATGGTTACAGTATTTTTCGTAAAAGTATTTAAATTTTTAAGTTAATATTTTGACAAAATTCAAAAAAATGCTAAAACTAATAAATTATTTTGTTGTTAAAAATTCATGAAAACTTTTATTTTTATACCTAAGATTTGAAAAAGTAATACCAAGTTCTTTGTTAGTTGTTTAACCTATATGTGAACAATTCTACTAGGAAGACAAATTAATTTTTTTTGACCATTTCAATCTCAAATATTTATGATATCATCCCATAATCACTCGTAAAATAATTATCTCTCATTAACTAATTTTTAATACTTTATTGTATTTTTAAAAAAGAAAAGAAAATAACACTAAATACTTTAAATGTTCACCGAATTTCACTCCATGTATAGTACTTAATATTAGTTACTATTATTTTTTGTATTATGTATTAACTGAGAAAAACAATATGGCGACTGCCTGCCAACTTTATGTTGCATGTGGCATCGTCTTTTAGGTTTGCTTGTTTACAGTACCTGGTTACAATGACGGTAATAGTGACGCCATGTCTGCTACTAATTGGCAACGATAGTGACAAAGAAAATCTAGCAGATGTAAATCTTGAGTGGAGTTTGGAAGATGAATACGAATATCGACGTCAGCGGTTCTATTACCGATGTGCCGGTTTCAGTAGTTGGTGTGTCTCCGATAATGATTCCACTTCTGATGATGACGATGAGAGTTATAAATTAACAGCAAATTCAGATTTTGACTCTGGTTATTCATTGCCACCAAGGGAAGAATGGGCTGTTGAAAAGCGTCACTGGTTGGATCTATTAACTAGACACAGAGCAGCTGCCCTGGATAAGTGGATTCGTACGGCAGCTGATGCAAAACAAGCAGTGGGTGATGTTTATGGTTATCGTGCTCTTATGTCTGCGTTATGCTCTGATAGGGTAATTAATAACATTTTAATATAATGTATTTAATATTTTGATTCGATATATGCAATAGTATAAGTCTTCAATAATTATTTTTGTGTTTACATTTTAGATCCAGGCACTACACGATGCATGGGCAACTCTTCGTCGTCTGCATACTGCCACAGCCGTGACATTTGAATCCCGACTTCGTCCCGAGTTTCTGGGTCGCAGAGAAAAAAATGTAGTGACAGTGTTGGGCACTAACGACATTGAAGACAATGAAGTAAATGAGCTACTACAGCTTCCACCAAATGCAACAATACCTGATGCAACAGCATTGGCTGTGCTTTACGAACATTTGTATAATGACAATACTTCTGATGTTGGTGGTATGAACAATAGTGCCGCCAGCTCAAACGATATTGGCAATAAGAAGGAAAAAGACCCTAGATTATCATCGTTTTTTACTTCACCATTGTTGCTGTCACCCTCGCCATGGTTATCTCTTAACAGTGGTATAAGCGGTGGACTAGGATCATCGGTAGGGTATGATTATGGACTAAGTGCACTTCATATTCTATGTATCCAATACTCTGATTGGGTGCAGCAAAATAACAGCGATGATGATTCTATATTACCATCAATGAAATCACCAATGTTACAACTAGACCGGTTTCGTAGTAACTTTCGTGCACTATTACGTCAGTATAGTGGAGATGGCTTTGGTGATTATGACGACAATGATGTGAGGTTTAATTATGTACCCTCCGATTATAAAGATGTAAACCTCTATAAAGAAAAAAATTCTTCCTACCGCGAAGAATTCAATTACAATAGAAACGACGAATTTGCATACGAACGACAATATGAAGACAATGTGGAGGAGTATGGCACAAGTGGTGGTGATAATGATGACTGCGGCGATGACGATGAAGATGATGATGCTACAGTTATCTGCTGTAATAATAGCAGTTATCTTTCATTGATGAGAAACGATGCAGTTAATACCTTGTCCGGGGGCCCACACGTTGCAGCTAAAGCAGAAAATCAACAAAAAACTACAACAAAAAATGAGAAATACATCCACCTTAAAAAACATCAAGAAGAAGACCTATATGATCGCTGGATCGAGGATGCGAGTGGTTATGGTCAAGGCCCCGCACCACTGAATATAGTGTTCTGTACTGAGCTTCATGTCCGCCTATTTTGGCCCCCGACGCTTTTCCTTCAAGACATTAATGACGATAAAGATATCATTGATCATAAATCGGCTATACCCGCCTATGCGTTAGGTACGACCTACGTGGCGACCGCAACAGCCGCTTTCAATCATGAAGATAAATCTACCAACCATTTGCTACCGCCATTGACCCTGGATCATATAATAATGGCACAATTGGACCAAGCTGCTCAAGATATGCGTCTCAGATACAAAGCCATGGACGAATTTTTGGATAGAGCATGTGCCTACTCAACGTCTGTCGCTAAAATGGTCTACTAAGATAATATCAACGGTGGGCAAACAACAACAGCATTATCCGCCATCATAGTATGTTCAAATGAAAATGTACTCCGGCAAATCTGCTGCAGAGATAGAATTGTGCTGAACTACATTGGAGTAACAAATTCTATATCGACATTATAATACAAGTGAAGCAGATTTCCAACTGCACACCATGTACTAATACGATAGAAAATTGTAAGTATTTCTTGTTTATTTACGATAAATCATATACAATTTTGTAATTAAGTTTTTCATGCTCTGTGTACAATAAATGGACCTATTTCAAGTTTCAAAGACTATCAAAGTTAAACATTTTAAAGTATTATAACAGAGGCTAGATACTTACGGGCATTTTTTCAGTGTAATATATTTATTAATTTGAATGAGGATTTAATTAACTTTTTTTTGCTAATTTTTTTAAAATTTATTTTCGAAATTTATCTCACAGTTAAACATAAAATTAATACAAATTAAAATATTAAAACTTAAATTTAATATAAAAATTAATAATAATATCATAAAATACCATTACTCTTAAAATTTAACATAATTAATACACAGTTTTTGATAACTATATGTTTACTGTTTTTAAAATTATGTTTATGTATTTAAAATCTAGGTATTATTTGTCAGTTCGTTGTACAATTCCCCCACTTTCTTTATTGCGTTGTAACATTGGCATGCACCTGCTATAATATTCATGGGTTAGATTAAGTTAGTTAAGTATATTATAGTTAAGCTTATAATTTTAATGTTATACGTGAGTTATTAAAAACTTGCTTATTATTGTGGATAATTCTAATTAAATTGCCCTGTGGCTGGGGGTAGTAAGAATGCCAGCCACGGTGATGAGCGCGACCAGTCGTAAAAGGCGACTAATAGCGCTCCTGCATGTGTCAAATAACATCCTAATATTACTAAATTTATAAAGTATGAGACACATGCAGCTAGGTAGGGTCTGGAAGTTGGCAACATATTTTATTCCATTTGTTCACAGTATGGTTCATTTATACATTTTAATTTATTTTTTGAAAGACCGCTCCGAGTATTCAGATTATAAAGTAAGCATCAAAGCATTCAGAGTTAATTTTTCTTTTATATCAATTTCAATTATTTACTTTATTCTGTCCAACAGAGTTCATGAATAGCACAAAATGATCACAGAATTTTGCTTAATTTTCTTGTGAATGTTATTATTGAAACTACATTTAAAACATTACATGATTATAGTTTCATCTAACGGTTTAATGATTAAAAAAAAAAATATAAAAAATTTAAAAAAAAAAAATAAAAAATAAAATAATAGTATAAAATACTTTAACTTTCGATACATGATATTTATTAATAATTAAGACAAGTGTCAGATTATTAATTAATAACATAATTTACTAAACATCGGCAGTTGTAATAATTCTCAAATTAATCATATGCAAGTCTTTGTGCGGTATATAAGTATATTTAAATTGAAATTAAACATTTCTATGTTACAATTAACACATTCATCATACAAATCAAATCGTTTTTCGACATCTACTAAAAAACCAGCTATTCTTCAACAGTTATTTTATGTTATGATAATTTCAGGTCAAGAATTTAAGGTATAATATATACGTCCATTATAAATACCAACATAGTATTAATTAATTTATTTTAATTTTAATTAGACACGCGGAATGTTATTGTAAATAATAAATATTTCAATGATATAGAACTACATTCTTTATGGTGTTTTTTTTCTTTTAATATTTTTCTCCTCGTTCGCCATAGGTTAAAATTTATCAAGTTTTCAATATTTCGATTTCAATATATTATTTATTATTTTTTTTTATCAATATGTTATATATTACGATTTGATACTTAAACCATAAAGAATGATAAACCGCAGTTTTTACCCAAAAATGTATTTATCAACTTGCTCGTTTTACGAAGTAATTTAAATTTTTTTCTTTTATTAATATAAATAATAGAAGTAGGTACCAGAATATATTAAGTGTGTATATTCTGTTATGCATCACTGGGGAATTTAATTATTATATTATATTATATTATACTAATTTAAATACAAATATAAGTATATTTGTAATTGGACATAGTATTTAGTATAAGATACGACAACTCATTGACTAAGTTATAAAGTAGGAAACGTTGAAATTATTTTTAAGCTCGAGTCCAGGTTTTGTTTTTTTATTTTTATTTTTTGTGTACATGCAGTATGTCGTTAGTCATCAATTAACAACAATATTTATACACGCCCGCTCGATAGTATTAATTTAGGTATAAGTATAATTATTATCGTAATTTAAGTAAATAGTGTAAGATACGACGGTTCTTTGGATCAGTCATGAAGTACAAACAATGGATATTATTATTTTAAGCTCGAGTCGCGGTTTATGTATTTTCATCTTTATTTTCCTGTGTACATCCACTTGGTCGTTAGTTAATTAATAGTTAACTACGATATTTGTTTGTACACTCCCGCTCGATAGTATTAATATAGATATAAGTATAATTTTAATTGTAATTTTAGTAAATAGGTTAAGGGCTCGTTGAATCAGCCAGAAACAATAAATTGAAAGTGTCTAATTTTAAGATTCGAGTCGTGGTTTTGTTTTTTCATTTATATTTTCCTGTGTACATCCACTTGGTTGTTAGTTACCAGTTAACTACGTCATTGGTTTGTACACGCCCGCTCGATAGTATTAATATAGATATAAGTATAATTATAACTGTAATTATAGTATTTAGTATAAGGAACGACTGTTCGTTGGATCAGTTTCATGCAATGTGTTGAAGTTATAATTAAGCTCGAGTTGAGGTTTTGTTTTTTCATCTTTATGTTTCTGTGTACACTCACTTGGTCGTTAGTTACAAGTTCACTACGACATTTGTTTGTGCACGGCCCGCTCGATAGTATTAATATAGATGTAAGTATAATTATAATAATTGTAATTTAAGTAAATAGTGTAAGATACGACGGTTCTTTGCATCAGTCATGAGTTAAAAACAATTATTTAAATGTTTAAGTTCGAGTCGCGGTTTTTGTTTTTTCATCTTTATTTTCCTGTGTACATCCACTTGGTCGTTAGTTACAAGTTCACTATGACATTTGTTTGTGCACGGCCCGCTCGATAGTATTAATATAGATGT